GGGACAGCGATGCGTCGGAGTCCGCTGGGCGGGACCTGGACGCGACCCGGTCCTGGCAGAGCGAGCCCCGCTCCCGGGTCCCGGGCCTCCGACGAGGGGCTGTCCGGGGCCGGACGCGCCCAGCTCGGGGCCCGGGGCGGCGTCAGGGCGCAGGGACCCAGGTCATCCCGCCCGAAGCCCCGGGGCAGTGGCCGAGCGGGGAACGGGGAGCGTCCTTTTAAAAACACAACGAAACGCAGCGTGACCGCGAGGCCCGTTCCCTCCACCCACGCTCTGATCTCCTGCGCCCGCGCGCGCGCGTGGGGCCTTCAGCCGCCCAACCCAGCACCGCCCTGGGTTTCCCTACTTTTCTTTAAAAAATCGAGGTCCTGTGAGTTAACACTAATCAGAACTCACTGTGTATCTGTAGGAACCGGGGCTACACCGAGAGGTGAGGGATGGTTTTCGGCGCGGCTGTCGCCAGAGGAAAGCAAAGCGCGGCTCTCTCACCTCTAGGTCCTGCCGCGACCGCCTGGGTGGGATCCGACCTCAGCAGGAGCCAGAGGTCGAGGCCCAGAATCTGAGTCAGGATCAGCAGCTGAGGGATCGCACCCAAAATGAATGTTTCCATTCTCTAAAGTCTGTTGGGAGAGCCTGGGGAGGATACCGGGTGGGGGTGTGCAGGGTGCCTGACCATCAACACGAGAAACGTTCCCACCTGCAGAGAATTGACGAGTTTGAGCCAAACTCAGGACAGGCACCTGGAGGTGAAGCCTCCAGGACCTGAGAAAACGCCCCAGGGAACGGCAGTTTCTCGCCCTATTTCACACTCCGCCATGGAAGGAGAAGCTGTACGTGGGTTATGGGAAAGCCACTGGCGACAGATGAGGGAGGCGGGAGGAAGCGCAGTGTGTGGTGGGGGCGGGTGGGGGGGGGGCTCTGGGATTGGGTGAGAGGTGAAGTGATGGACACACCCCCCCTCTCCGCCGGTGACTGCAGCGGAGTTCACAGCCAACGATCAACAACAGCAACAACAACGAAGGGATTCACGGGACCTGTGCTTTGAGGGGTCAGCAAACAGGAAGATTACTTCGTTTTTGTGAATAAAGGCATGTTTATCGGGTGTGTTATCCTGCGTGCAGGACAGCAGACAGGCTTAGGGGAGGTGAAGACTGGCCTCCGTCAGGGAAGAATACCCGCCTAGGCCATGAACTGCTTTTAGTTTTTGTATGTGTGTGTGTTTTTTTAGACCATCCTATGCGGTTACTTTAGGTCTCTGAGCGTGAGGCGGCCACACACAGGCGCCCCCACCCCGATCTAGTCAGGGTCAGTGTGCGGCCCCTTTCCATCCACACGACCAAAGGGAGCCGCCCCAACCCAGGGGGGGACACAGGGGGCAGAGAGGGCGCTCAGCGGGGCAGCTGTGATGTTCTCACTGCGTCTCGGCCTCCGGGGGAAACGCGTTTTCAGGAGCCGTAGGTGCATGGTGTTGTGGTTTCTTCGTTATCACTCAGACACGGGCTCAGAAAGCAAGTGGGGTTTATTGCGGCTGCCTTCCTTAGATACAGAACAATTCTGGGTGCGTCCTCCTCGGTCCTCCCCCTGAACGGTTCCAGCTGGCAGACGGCTTCCTCCAAAGCAGCCTTCCTCTGCGTCCTCGCTACCAGGCGAGGGCCAGGGTGCGTGCTCCTCTTGGAGGCTGATGGGGGAGAAGAGTTCAGTGAGGCACAGGGCTGGGGGGCACAGAGAGCCGAAGGGGTCCCTGGGCTGAGCTGAGCTGGCGCCCCCAAGCGCAGTCCTCCCCAGGGAGCCCAGGGACTCGCCCAGCAGGCAGGGCCCCGCCTACCCCCTGCCCCAGCCTCCCCTTCCTCTGCCCAGAGTCAGACCCCTGCGGAGACTGGGGGACCCCCACTGGCCCTGCCTCCAGGGGGCAGTGTCTGCAGGGCTGATTCTCACTGGGATGGTGGTGATTTAGAAAATACTAGATTCCTTTCCTCCCTTCTCTTTTCAAACCTCTAAATCTCTGTTGACCGCCTGACGGATGACCCCCTCACTCCGCTGAGAAAATGAGGTGAACAATCTTCCTACACCAAACCCACCGGGCCCGTGTCACCCCCATCCGTGTACCGCACCTGCCGTCCCCTTGCAGTGGGTGGTTGTCCTGCCCTCCACTGAGTCCTGCAGCCCCGCCTCTTCACTGGTGAGGGGAGTCGGGGGAGCAGGAGCAGGGTGGGGGGGACAGATGAGATGTAAGAGAAGGCCTCTCTGAACTGATGTGTGTGCAGAGGCCTGAGTGAGCTGAGGGACTGAGACGTGGGGGTGGGGGGGGAGAGTGTTCCAGGCAGGGGCGCTGGCAGACGCAATGCCTGAGGTGGGAGTCAGGTCGGTGGGTTCGGAGAGCAGGGAGAAGCGGGCGACGCTGGAGCACAGTGAGGGGGAGAGAACGGCAGGCGATGAGGCTGGAGGAGAGACGGGTGCCCGGTCGTGCAAGGGGGTAGAAGCCTAGGAGATGAATCGCTGGCTCGCATGGGAATTTAATGCCGAACCTTTTGAGAGACTGCCAAACTGTTTTCCGAAGTCACTGCATTATTTTACATTCCCTCCAGCGGTGCCTGGGGACCCCATGCCTTCCATCAGACGGTTAACAGGCTCTGTGACTACGGAGAGGAACCTCCTACTGTTCACTCCACAACCAGTGTCTGGAGATGATGCCCCAGGTCCCGCGGGGAGGGTGCTGTGCCCCTCTCCACTCCCGGCGCAGCTCTGAGACAGCTGCTACCCCCGCCCTGCCTGGACTAGTCCAGCATTACATTTCTATTGCTCCGGTTCCACTAAGATCACTTGTAACTTGGAAGAGTTGTTAACGACTTTTTTCTGTGTCTGTGCTCCTTCTTTCCGAATGTGTTAGCTACTTGCTCTTTAACAGCAGAAAGAGCTGAAGAAAGTGGCCCCCGGCCCCCACCCAGACACGGTGGAGGGAGAAGGCGGGTGGGTGGCATGCCATGGGCGCGTGGCATGTGCCTCGGCTCTGACGCCAGCAGCTTACAGGGGTGGCACCGGGCGGAAACACAGCCACGCACCTGAAGTGCAAGAAGGGCCAAGGTGTGGAGTAACAGGCTCACTTGCAAACAGCAGCTTTTCCTTCCTCCTAGGATTCCAGAAGTTGAGGGGCTTTGGCCGAGGGCTTCGAGTCAAAACTACTGACGTTAAAATTCACTTTCACTTTCAACCTTTTAACGAGATAACACGTGTGAGGATGTTTGGAAACGATACCAGGTTATGCTGTTTCAGACATTATCGTTATACTCTGCTGCGTCTGCTGTCTAAAGTACCGTTCCTTCCAACGGCTGCGAACTCTCGGGCGTGTGACGCTGACGAGACCGTGATGGAGGCTGGCTTGGGGTTGCCTGCGGACCCAGCCTCAGCGGGGTAACGCTCAAAGCACCCCCTCTCCACGGCAGTGTGAGCACTGATTGTGCCATTTACAAGCATCAATGCAAAACGTGTTTCCAAAAGAGAACCCAAACACTCCATTTCCCAGTCTGCCTTGCTGTCAGGTGGCAGACACATGCCTCAGAGCCCACTCAGGCGTAGACGGGACCAGTGACGCTGGCCCTCCGAAGGGCGTCCAGGCCCGCAGAGCCTTTGGGGTTCCCAGGCCCACAGCGTGTAGGTCATGGCGCGAGCAGTGCGCCCTCTGCCTGCGATTTTGAGTATTGCTCCTGAAACTGAGCTCTGTTTCCTAAGACCTCCCAATGACCGGGAGCAGTCGAAACCTCAAAAAATGGACCGTTTTCCAGGGCCTTCTTGAAACCGAGAGCCCTGGCACTCTTCTAGCTAACAACCTCAGTACACCTGGCATGCAATCGGTCACACACAAAAATTCATGAAAGGATCAGTCTGATCTGGCTTAATCAAAATGAGTTTTCCTAGAAAATGTGGGTTTCAAAATGTGTTTTGAGTGAAAGAAAAGAAATGACCTGGGCCCACCCCTATATACTCACCACCAACAAATCAGACCATGAAAGAGAAAGAAAGAAAGAACAAAAGAGTGAAAGAACGAAAGAATGAAAGGAAAGGAAAGGAAAGGAAAGGAAAAAAAGGAAAGAAAGAAAGAAAGAAAATCTAGGTTAGTGTATAAAGCATAATTACTGAAAAAGGCTTTCCTGTGCTAATATGTCGAGAAAGCATTCAATCAAAAATTACAAGACATGCAAAAAAAAAGTAAGATAAAATAACCCACTGTCTAGAGATGAAACAATCAACGGAACCAGATTCGGACATGACCCTAATGTTGGAACTAACAAGGAATTTAAAATAACTAAGAATAATGTGTTAACCCAGTGAAAAGGTGAATAACATGTATGTACAGATGGGCAATTTCAGGAAAAAGGAAAACTATATGAGAAATCAAATTGAAATACTAGAAATAAAAATCATCACACAGAGGGGAAAAATTCCTCTGACAGCTCCTCAGTGTGGGGGACACAGCTGAGGGATGACTCTATGAACTTAATCACAGTCGGTACAAATCATCTGATTGAAACACTGGGGAAAACAGAGTAGCTAAGAACTGTGTAGCTACGGGACAACATCAAATGGTCTAACATTCACTGGAACCTCAGAAGAAACAAGAATAGGATATAAGAAATATTTGAAGTGATAATGGGCTAGAATTTTTTTAAATGAATGAAAGACATCAAACCACAGACACAAGAACCTTAGGGCGCTCAGAGCGGCACCCTACTTAGCGCCCTAAGTAGGACAAACAGGGAGAAAGGGGAGCAAAACTCCTAGACACATCATCGTGGAGGTAGTGAAAAGCAAAGACAGAGAAAATCTTCAACATACCCCAGGAAAAAGGTAACATCACATACAGAGAAACAGAGACAAGAATTACGGTAGATTTCTCATCGAAAACTAAAATTTAAAAAATTACAACTATGACAAAATTTACATCACTGTCTCGAGAAAAAGTTTCCCAATTCCAGTGGGTTCCATAATTTCTACAATATTAAACCTTACCTGCTCCTTTTACAAAATTCACTTTCTATGTAGTTTGCAGACAGTCTAATCCACTCATTTGGAGTCATGAAGCACCTTGAATTAGAAATTCTTGGGAATCTGGAATGCCGTTTGGCCTTCTCAACCTCTTTAAATTCTTTCATTGTATGCATTTTGCCTGTGAGAAGATTGGTAACACAAATCAGCGTGGTTGAATGCAACTCCCATTGCCTTTGGGTTATGGAATCGCATAACAATTAGAAACGAAGTATCTTTGAGCACAGGCTGTGAACCAAAGTGTTGCTGGTTCGATTCCCAGTCTAGGGCACAAGCCTGGATTGCAGGCCAGGTCCCCAGTGGGGGCCACATGAGAGGCAACCACACACTGATGTTTCTCTCCCTCTCTTCCTCCCTCCCTTCCCCTCTCTCTAAAAATAAAATAGATAAAAATCTTTTAAAAAATTAAAAAATGAAGTACCAGTCTCACACTGAAGAAGAGTTCGTTGTTCCTCATCTTTGTCACACTGTGCCTTTTTCAGAGGGTCACAGAACGGTGGGATGGTGACCTACAAGGAAAGCATTTCTTTAAGGACTGGGCTTCAGGTCTTTTCCAGTCTGTCCTGAACATCCGTTTATGGCTCTTCTGCCAGGAGAATCAAGACCACGGGATCTACAAGCTGACGGCAGTCTAACCATTACACATATTTAACACGTAATAAAGGGATGGGGCACTTTGCTACTGCTCTTAGCGAGCCTTCCAGCCACGTTAGCTCTTGTTTCAACAGCCCCTTCAGGTCGTGCAGGTGTGTCTTGGGTGCTACACCCCAACTCAGCAAGCGGTAGCTTCTTCAGGATTAGTTATGATGTGGAATCTGAAACCACACCAATCAACTCTTCAGACTCCGCTACGTTAAAACCCCTTGGTCTGTCTTGAACTTTGAATGGATCCTTTATCCACGTCATGGATCGGTTGTTTGGAGAAAATCAGGTCTGAGTCGTGTGAGGTCTCCCAAATGTTCACACACCTCATTGTACAGTAACCACATTTACTGTATCATCACCAGTCTCATCAGCCAAGTCTGCGAGTACCGCAATGCCGTCCCACTCAATACGATTTTTCCAAAATTTTGCTAAAAAGTTCACATTTTACCATTGGTGACAAACAGCCTGTTGTTGTTCTTAAAGTGACAGTCTCACTTGGATAACTTTCCAGAAAATGTCTGCCAAACCCCCCAGATTTGATAGCCACAGTTTTGTGAGTCAGTCTTTCCTGTGACGAGGGCGTTCCGTGAGAAACCCCAGCCGAGCCAGCTCACTGCGCAAACAATCACCCTGGATTTCAGACGCAGTCGACACGCTCTCAGTGGGCTTCCCGGTCACCACACGACTATTAAAAAGACGTGCACTCAAGGACAAGGTTCAATACAATTAAATTTTTTACCGTTTGGTCACAGATATTCTTAGGGAAATGGAGTCGGTTTCCTGCTGCGAGCGCATGGCCACGGAGGCTGGGGAGCCCCGGCAGCAGCGGGGCTGGCAGCGCGGACCGAGGCCGCTGCGGGGCACCAGCGCTTTCACGCGCCGCAGCGCAGGTCAGCACAATGCGAACTGCAGACACCACTCGGCACGGTCATGAAAATACATGGCCTCGCGGACCCCCCAAAATGTGCTGGCGCTCGCGTCAAAGGTCTATGTACTTCACCTTGAGAACTGCGGCTCTAACCTCAAAGCGCTCAGCTCGCCCTTAGAGGCCACCTGTCCGCCCCATTTAGAAAGGGGCCTGGCAAAAGAATAGCATGGAATTTCGCTGTCAGAAAGAGCTGGTTTCATGCCCTGGCTGGTGTGGCTCAGTGGACTGAGCTCCGGCCTGTGAACTGAGAGGTCACCACTTTCACTCCCAGTCAGGGCACAAGCCTGGGTTGCAGGCCACGTCCCCAAGCAAGAGACGATAGATCAATGTTTCTCTTGCACATTGCTGTCTCTCTTCCTCTCTTCCTCCCTCCCTTCCCCTCTCTAAAAGTAAATAAATAAAATCTTTTTAAAAATCTGGTTTCAAACCCCAGTACTTCCCCTTTCTAGCTGTGTGACTAGTTAGTACATCTAAAGCTCTTACTCGAAACTCCTGATGAGTTTAACTCTCACTGACACAAACAGGCGCAATAGCACACACACACACACACACACACACACACACCCATCCTGGGAGGAGGAAAAAAGGACCCATTGTGCATGCAAATGCCAGCAGCTTATTTGTTTAATATATTTTATTGATTACGCTATTACGGTTGTCCCAGTTTTTCCCCTTTGCGTGCATTCCGGGTTCCACCTGGCACCCCCATTCCCTCCAGCATTCCTCCACCCTTAGTTCGTGTCCATGGGTCATACATATAAGTTCTTCAGCTTCTCCATTATCTATTACCTATGCTACTCCCTCACCTATACTATTACCTATACCATTCTTAAAAACCTCCTGTTTTTGTACCTACTAACTATGCTTCTTAATCCCTGCACCTTTTCCCCCATTCTCCTCCTTCCCCCTCTCAACCGCTAACCCCCAAATGAGCTCCATGTCTGTGATTCTTTTCCAGTTCTGCTTGTTTGCTTAGTTTGTTATTTGGATTCAGTTATTGATAGTTGTGAATTTATTGCCACTTTAATGCTCATCGTTGTGATCTTGTTTTTCTTTAACAAGTCCCTTTAGCATGTCATGTAATAATGTCTTGGTGATGATGAACTCCTTTAGCTTTACCATGTCTGGGAAGCACTTTATCTGTCCTTCCATTCTAAATGACAGATTTGCTGGATAGAGTCATCTAGGTTGTAGGTCCTTGCTTTTCATCACTTTGAATATTTCTTGCCAGTCCCTTCTAGTCTGCAAAGTTTTTTTTGAGAAATCAGCTGACAATCATATGGGAACTCCCTTGTAGGTAATTATCTGCTTTTCTCTTGCTGCTTTAAAAACTTACTCTTTATCTTTAACCTTTGACATTTTAATTATGATGTGTCTTGGTGTGACCCTCTTTGGGTCCAACTTGTTTGGGACTCTCTGTGCTTCCTGGACTTGAATGTCTATTTCCTTCACCAAGTTTTCTTTCATTATTTTTTTTCAAATAAGTCTTCAATTTCTTCCTCTTCCTCTTCTCCTTCTGGCACCCCTATGATTCAGACGTTGGTACATTTAAATATGTCCCAGAGGTTTCTAAGCCTCTCCTCATTTTTCTGAATTCTTGTTTTTTCCTGCTGTTCTAATTGAATGCTTTTACCTTCCTTTGTTCCAAATCATTGATTTGGTTCTCGGCTTCATCCCCTCCACCGTTGATTCCCTGTAGATTTTTCTTTATCTCACTTAATGCAAACTTCATGTCTGCCTGGGTCTTTTTTATGCCATTGAAGTAACTAACCAGTGGGTTCTTGGAGCATTCTGATAATCAGGGTTTTGAACTGTGCATCTGATAGGTTGCTTATCCCCATTTTGTTTAGCTCTTTTCCTGGAGTTCTGTTCTGCTCTTTCATTTGGGCCATGTTTCGTTGTCTCCTCATTTTGGCAGCCTCCCTGTGTTTGTTTCTGTGTATTAGGGAGAGCTGCTTTGACTCCATCTTAACAGGTGCTTAACAGCACCTGTTAAGGTTGTGTGGGGTGGCGTTTAGGTAATCACCAGGGTGGGGCAACCTGTGGCACTGCTCTGTTGCTCTGTGAGGGGAGGGCTCACAGAGAGGACACTGCTGCTGCCTGGCCTCTGGAGTTTCGCTCGGGAGGAGGCTGTCTCCTCACTCACACTTTGATTTCTCCCCATACGCCACTGGTGTCCTTCCAGCTGTAGCCCTGGTGCTGAGTCCCAGAGGGGTGGGTCTGTGTGAGTCCTGAGTCCATTTCAAGCCCTTTAAGAGGATGTAGTTTCTTCCGCCACCCCAACCCCCACTGGTTTTTACAGCCAGAAGTTATGGGGACTTCTCTTCCTGGCAGTGGGACCCTGGGCTGAGTGGTCTGGACTAGGCCTGGGCCCCCTCACTCCCCAGGTGTCCCTCCTGTTTTTTATCCACCACAGGTGGAACTGCTCTGTTCCCCACTCCGCCCCTCTTGCCTCTCCTCTGCTCCGCCCCTCCCACCCGCCTGAATGAACGTGTCTTCTTTAACTCCTTGTCTGTGGACTTCCACACTGTTCGATTTTCTGACAGTTCTGAGTGACACTTGTCTTGTAGTGTAGCTGCATTATTGCTGCGGTTGTGCGTGGAAGTGAGGTGTTTACCTACGGCTCCATCTTGACCAGCCGAATGTCAGCGATTTAAAATGTCTATGCCCAAGGCAGTTTTTTGTTTTATTGTGTTTAATAATACCCACTATTAGCGAAAGCATGGAAAATGGACTATGGTGGAGGGTGCAGATTTATACATTTTGGGGGAACAATTTGGCAATACGAATCAAAATCATGTATAACCTTTAACTCAGCAATTCTATCAACTTACTGAAAAAGAAAGAAATAATTACAGGAATGCTCATCGCAAGTCATGTAAAACAGCAATAGGTCAAAAACAATCTAGGTGACCAAAATGGAACATGTCAAAAAAAATGATGGTTTAGCAAGAAACCATTTATGGTTAGAAACACATGCATTCTCTGCTGTTTGCAGCTGTGTGACCTTGGACAGGCGACTGAACCTATCTGTGCCTCACTGGCCTTGCCTGTAAACTACCTGACATGGTAGCAGTGAAGAGGAAATAAAATGGGGGGGGGAAAGTCCTAACACCTGGTTAATCCCTCAGTGCAAGTTAGCTGATACTGATAACAGAGAAGTATGCAACTATTAAAATTATATTGATATTTGTTGGCAAAGACAGAAGCAAATCACAAACTATTAAGGGAAAAAAGCAGACTATATAATCTAATGTATGGTATAAACCCGTTCTTACAAAATACAAATGTGCCCTGGCTGGCATAGCTCAGTGGATTGAGTGCGGGCTGCGAACCAAAGCATTGCAGGTTCAATTCCCAGTTAGGGTACATGCCTGGGTTGCAGGCCATGACCCTCAGCAACCACACATTGATGTTTCTCTCTCTCTCTCTTTCTCCCTCCCTTCTCTCTCTAAAAAAAAATAAATAAAATCTTAAGAAAAAATGATTAACAAAATACAAATGTGTATTTATACCTATATATAGAAAGTCTTGAAGGATATAAAGAAAAATGTTCATGAGTTCATCCCGGGTAATGGACTTGAGTGGTTTTTAAGTTATTTATCAACTGATTTTATCATGAAAATGTATTATTTTTGTAACAAATTTTAAAGTCTATGAAAATGAAATATCAGCATTACCTATTACCCAGTATTTTCAAATTTCGCAGAGGTTTCATTTAGTTTGGTCTTTGGCTTTCTTGTCCCTCTCTAAGACATGGAGATAGAAAACTATTCTTAAGGTGCTACTACATTCTTAGGACACTAGTAGAGGACAACTCACACAGTAGGACTGCTCAAACAAACCAACTGCGAAACACCAAAGTTAAAATAGGAAATCTGCCTTACCTTCAGGAAATCTGGGTCCTCTTTGCTCATGTGGAAAGGATCGTACTCTTTCGGATCGTAGTGCTCTAAGAACACGTTTCCCTGTTGAAGGAAACAGGCCGCCCGTCAGGGCCAGAGGCTGGGTCCGTGCTGCGCGTGGCAGGACTTCAGAGTCAGACACGCAGCCCGTCCCCACACGGCTGCCGCGTGGTGTCAGGAGCACATGTGGAAGGCAGGGAGACCACGTCTGAAATTAAGTTTCCTGTATCCGAGTAACAAATATTGTAGTGACGGAAAAATTCTACTTAAAATCTGCAAGATTTCACCCTGGCTGGTGTGGCTCAATGCATTAAGTGCCAGCCTGCGAACCAAAGCATCGCTGGTTCGATTCCCAGTCAGGGCACATGCCTGGGTTGCAGGCCAGGTTCCCAGTTGGGGGATGTGTGAGAGGCAACCACATACTGATGTTTCTCTCCCTCTCTTTCTCCTCCCACTTGCTCTAAAAAGAAATAAATAAAATCTTTGCAAAGTTTCAATAAAAAATGTGGGAACATAAAAGATTTGGGAATTGGTTTTCGAACATCTCAGATCTCTTAAAAATGCCAAGAGATAGCTTTGTAAATAATTGAGTTTGAGTTCCAGGGTTTACACACACACACACACACACACACACCCTGATCCTAGAGTCCAGCATTTAAAATTGGTGTATAAACGTAATAATTACATGGGAACAACAGAGAAGACTGATTCTGATGTACACATTTACATCCGGAACCAGCCTCCTCCCTCTACCTGTCCCACTCGCCCTGATCCCACCAGTCCTGAGCCCGCCGCCCTGGACTTAAGAGTGGTGTGTGCTGCCCAGAGGAGAGGCCGCCCACATATGGAGCGGGGAGGGGCCGGCTGCCTGGGTGATTATAGAGCCAGAGATAACCAAAGTTTCAAACGGACAGAAACAAGTCGGCTGATCTCTCAATACCTTTTGATTGACATATTTTAAAAAACTGTCTAATTCCTCTTGTCTCCTTTTTTTAATCTTCTTATGCGAACAAACTTTTTCTATAATTTTCTTCTGCAGAGGATCTGCCACGTAGTCAACCCATCTTTTATGTAGCAGCTCTTTTCTTCTCTCGTTCAAGAAGTCATGTTGGTGCAAGCACTTATCCAGTTCCTCAGAAACAGCGATAGGAAAGACACACATGTTATCTGAAATCTTTCTTCTTTAAAATGTCAACTTCATGTATGCTCCCAAGGATAACCCGCAGAGTCATTCCTTAATGCAGCCATTTGCTGGGCTCCTACTGTGTGATATGCACTACACTGGGGACAGGGGGCAAGTGGGTCAACTAGACAAATGCCTGCCTGCCCTGGGGAGACAGACTACAAAACAAATATGTACGATGAAAAACAGGGACTCAGACAGACCCTGGTGCACCGACATTCACTGCAGTGTTATTCACAACAGCCGCAAGGTGGAGCGGAAGCAGCCCCAGTGTCCACCAACGGATGGATGCATAAACAGAAGGTGGCACAGGCATACGAGGGAATAATACGCAGCTGTGAAAAAGGAATGGGGTTCTGACACGTGCGAGCATATGGATGAACCTTGAGAGCAACATGCTACGTGAAGTAAGCCAGAAAAGGGCCAGTATCATAGTATTCCACTTACATGGTAGAGATAGAAAGTGAATTAGAGGTTACCAGAGACTTGGGGAAGGAGGAAAGGGGGTTATTACTTAACGAGTACAAAGTTTCAGTTAGGGAGATGAAAAAGTTTGGGAAGTAGCGGTGATGGTTGTACCATATGCAAGTGTAATTAATGTCACTGAACTGTACCATTAAAATGGCTAGAAATAGCAAATTGTATGTTCTATGTATCTTATGACAATGGAAAAGACAATTACATTTTTACAGAAATAAGCCCAAAGCGGGAGACATTTTAGACAAGACTTAAGGAATGAAGTGCTACCTAGGAGAGAACAGAGGACAGACGATGTGGAAGAAGGACACTTTATGGGGCAAAAGAGACAGAAGCAAAGGGACAGAGTGCGGCCCGAGCCAGTCCCGGGGGCCTGCAAGGAAAACGCCCGGCATAGGCTAGAAGCCAAGTCATTCTCACCCGAACTTCCTATCGAGCTTTCACCTGGCAAGTGAAATCATGCAGTTCTTAGGATCGACGACATAACATTCAAAATGAAAAATAAAAGGCCCCTAAAACTCCCTGCTTTGTGGGGATTATACCTCTGTAACTTCAGATCTCAGCACACTTCAGCCTTTCTCAATGCAAAGTTCCTTTCCTCTTTAAACAACAGTAAAGCCTTAAAAACAGAAGAGGGTTAAGACCTGGCCAGGTAGCTCTGTTGGTTGGAGCACCATCCCAAACATCAAAGATTGTGGGTTCGATCCCCAGTCGGGGCACATACGGGAAGGCCACCAATTGATGTTTCTCTCTCTCCCTCTTCCTCTCTCTCTAAAATCATTAACCACATCTTCAGATGAGAATTTAAAAAAAAAAAAAAAAAAAAACAGGCTACCTACTCCAGAGTTCGGTGCATGTCACAGGGAAGTGCACCTTGTCTTAGGATTAAACCCGTCCTGCCGCAGTTACAGCCTTTTCTTCCCTAGGAGCGCTTGAGGAATAATCGGTCCCTATGTTCCAGTAAGAGCTCTTAAAGCTCTTAACACTACACAGCAACTCCATCAAAGCCCCACTGAGATGAAGAACAAGTGAGAAGGGAAAAACTCATGAGGTGCCTGTGAAAGAATCCCCTCAAAGGATAGGAGAAGAGGAAGTTCAGCAAAAACAACCTCAGAGACCCCTTAAGCTTAATCCTACGGGTGAATGAGTGTTTTTAATTCTACTGTCTATATTTTCTAAAATTATTATAATGATGAACTACATGTAAAGTGAAAAAAAATTAATTGAAACACATTAGTCAATTCTTACCTTAATTATATAATTTTCTCTATATAATATTGATTGAATAGCTGCATTATTATCTTCTCTAGCCAATGCCTAAAATGACAGAATGAAATTTTGAGAAAGTCACATCTGAAAAATCAAACTATTAGCACTACCTGGATTTATATTTCATGTGATAGACACGTCTCTGGAAAATTCTGTATAAATCCAGTTTTTATACCTATTGAAAGAGTATGTGAATCTTTCTGCTTTGAATTAAGCTCATTCCAGGGCAAAAAATAACTCACAGTTGACATTTCGAGTCCCAGTGAGGTCAAATGCCTTTCCCAGAGTCACATGGTAGGCACACCCCATCTTTTTTCCCATCCTACAAAACGCTTTTACCTTTACGAGTTAGAGTACCATCAGGCCCCTGGGGTTCGAATTCATTTAGTCATTGGCGAATTCTGTTTGAACTCGTCATTATAGCTATCAAATATTAACAATAAATATCTTCACATACAAGTCACATGTTCAGATTTTAAAGCAATGCAGTCTTCAGGATATAATTCATAATATTATTTTGCCATTTGCATAACAAATTTTATACAATTAAATATCTAACAAAATAAAATATAAGAGGTTGATTTCTAAGACGCATGTGAATGTAATTAATGTCATTGAGTTGTACACTTAAAAATGGTTAAAAATAGCAAATGTTATCAGATGATATATGTGTGTATATATTATATTATACATTTTATATATTATATATTATATATTATATATATTTTACCACAATAATATACATAATATATATATTTTCCCACATTGGAAAATGATTTTTTAAAAAGAGTTCCAAAATGGGAGACATTTGGGATAGGCCTTTGAAATCCTCTCACAATTACACAAAAACAAAATCGTCTCAAATTCACTGCCATTGGAAGCAGCCTCAATCCCACGACCCTGTTTCCAGAACAGATGAGCGTAGCCTCAGAACCCAGGACTGAAACCTTCCCCGTTAACGCTGAAGAGCGTTCAGGCTCATGGGAGTGAAGCAACAACCAGAAGCCTAGAAAATCCCGCATGGAGCCAGAATTTAAACTCAAATGTGTCGAACTCTAACCCCATTTTCTTTGCTCTTTCTGCCTCACAGAGTCGCTATTCCCGGCAAATAGGTTGTTCTCAAAACCAAGATGGCTACTGAATTAATACCCTGCACAAAAAGAGAAAAAGCAGCAATCTGGAGACACCAGAGACTGAGGGAAGGCAGGGAGAAACGGGAGGGGTAGTCAGCACTGCAGGACAAGAACAGCCCCGGGTCAGTTTTCAGTGTGGTGCGGACGGCTGCCCAGGAGCCGGCTGCAGTCAGGGGCCACAGGGGCTGGCGCAAACTCAGAGACACGCTCCGTTTTTCAGGCTCAAGAGTGAGAAGGCAGCCCAGGGCAAGCGCAGCAGCTGGAAAGAGAGAGGAGAGAGAGGAGAAATGCCTGACAGAAGAAAGCCATGGAGGGGATGCCACGAATTGTGGGGATAAAATGTGACCAAACTTCTGTTAGGTCCTTGAACTATGTATGTGCCAGGCAGACTCCACGCGGTCCATCTAAAGCTAAGAAAGACTGAGCAGTGGTTTTCATCTGCTGTCGACTGCAGGAAAGGCAAAGTTCATGGGCCGAGGCCGGCCAGGTTAACTGCTGCTCAAACAGAAGCTCAGGATTCTTCAGAGGAATCCAACAGAAGCCAGATTCTTTACAATTGTATCATGTAGAATGTCTAAAGTGTAGTCCAGCCCTGGCTGCTGTGGCTCAGTGGACTGAACATCAGCCTGTGAACAAAAGGGTCGCTGGTTCAATTCCCAGTCTGGGCACATGCCTGGGTTGTGGGCCAGGTCCCCAGTAGGGGGCACACGAGAGGCAACCATACATTGATGTTTCTCTCCCTCTCTTTCTCCCTCCCTTCCCCTCTCTAAAAATAAATAAAATCTTAAAAAATATGTAGTCTAGGATTACTACTACACACAACAGGAAATTGTGGCTCATAGTTTAAAAGAAGGCAACCAAGGGAGGCCAGCTCCGAGGTGGCCCATGTGTTGAAATTAGCAGACAAGGACTTTAGGCCGATGACTACAGCCAGGCTTAAGAAGTTAAAGGAAATGTTCTCATAACCAATGGGTGGAAAATCTGAGCAAAGATATATAGACTGACTCTTCAAAAAAACAAGTGGAAAACACAATTCTTAAATTTAATAAACAAACTTCAATGGGCTTAAGAGCCCATTGGAACTGACATAAGAAGGGTCCGTGAACTTTAGCACAGATCACCAGAAATTACCCAGTCTGAAAAACAGAGAAAAAAAAGACTGGGAAATAACGAACGTAGCTGCAGCAAAGACTTTTGAGACAATGGCAAAGGGTCAACAAGTGGGAAACTGGGTCCTCAAGTGACCAGTGAAAGGACGGAGTGGAAATCCTGAAGGCATGGCTGGGATGAGAACTCCCACTTTCAGACAAGATAGGGTGACAAAGAACTTCATCTTAAGAAAAGTAACCAAAACGACAGTTTTCAAGCAAGACGTTGGACATCGGGAGATGAAGGACAGTGGCCCCTGAGAAACGGAAGACAAAGCGATCCCTGTGATGGCTCGGTTTTGTTCCTGGCACAGGAATAAAATTTCCTGACTGGCACGGAGAGGGGGAGATCGGGGAACCCGGCCATCTCCCCGGAACGGGAGAAAAGCTAGGAGTGTAGGGGAGGCCAGGGCCGCTACAGTTCGTAGGGCTGAGTGCCAGAGGGAGGCACGTTAAGCGGGGAAAGAGCTTTGGAGATCTGCGGAGGGTCCCCCTTGATTCTTCAGCCGAATGCCGACACCCCGTGCATGTGGAGGAACTACCCGGTGAAACGTTCTGCCAAGAAGCCCCTGAAAGGAGTAGGGGAGACAATCTCTGGAGGTCACACAGCCCCGGGAGTTATTCCTTCCACATCGGCCAGAGTGAAAAGTCTGGTGGTCTGCAGAGCGTGGAGTGGAGTACTCAGAGGGGCCTCACGTAAGTGGTGGAGCGAAACTGGGCACGCACTAGATGCCGCTGGGGTCCTGCTACAAGGCGAGGAGGCAAGGCCTGCAAGAGTCAGGGTGTGAGCCCTGGCTGGCGTAGCTCAGTGGATTGAGCGCGGGCTGCGAACCAAAGTGTCGCAGGTTTGATTCCCAGTCAGGGTACATGCCTGGGTTGCAGGCCATGACCCCCCAGCAACTGCACATTGATGTTTCTCTCTCTTTCCTCTCTCTCTCTCTCTCCCTCCCTCCCTCCCTTCGCTCTCTAAAAATAAATATCTTTAAAAATAATAATAATACTCTTTAAAAAAAGAGTCAGGTGTGTCCAAGCAACTGAGCCACAGCCCAGGCCAAGCTCAGGAACATTTATGGGAAATCAAAGATATCCAGCACTCAACAAGGTAAAATTCACAATGCCTGGCATCCAGTAAAAAAGATCACCAGACATACAAAGAAGCAGAAAAATTTGAGCAATCATAAGGAGGAAGATCAATCAAGCCTGCCCCAGAAATAACACAGATGATACATGCCTTAGAGCGGGACATTCACATCATTCTTACACCTGTTGTTCGTCAGTTCCGGAAGCTAGAGGGAACAGTAGACATTTTGAGACAGGGAAGATATAAGAAAGGACCCAAATAGATTCTGTAGTGAAGAAAATCCCAGTGACTCAGATGAAAAATTCTCCAGACAGGCTCATCAGCAGATTCGATGTTGCAGAAGCAGTGAACTTAAAACCACAGCCATCGAGGCTGGCCAAGGGCCACAGTCTGCAGAAGATGAACAGAGTGTCGCTGGGCTCTGGGACGATTTCAAGCAGGCTATGACACACACCATTGTATTTATCAAAAAGGAGGGGAGATAGAAAAAACATTTGGAAAAATAATGGTTGAAATGTTTTCCAAATGTGTTGGGAACTGTGAGTCCACAGAGGAGGGAGGGATTACCAGGGTTCAAAGGTGGACACGTGGGGAGAAGGGATGGCATTCGTTGTCTTGATTGTGGTGGCGGTTTCACGCGTGAATGCGTGGCACGATTCATCAGACTGCACTCTTCAAGTGTATGCAGTTTGTTGCGTGTATGACAATTATACCTCAATAACAATGTGTAGAAAAAAGGAATTACGATCTTTCAAAATACACAACGCTTATAAATCTGGGTGATGCAGCTGATTCCACTTTAAGAAGCTAGGAAAAAGCCCTGGCTGGCGTAGCTCAGTGGATTGAGCGCGGGCTGCAAACCAAAGTGTCGCAGGTTCGATTCCCAGTCAGGGCACATGCCTGGGTTGCAGGCCATGACCCCCAGCAACCGCACATTGATGTTTCTCTCTCTCTCTCTCCCCCTTCCCTCTCTAAAAATAAATAAATAAAATATTTTTTAAAAGTTACAGAAAATTAAAAAAAGAAGCTAGAAAAGGAGGAGCAAGCACAAAGTTAATAGAAAGAAAGGAATAATAACGAGAGAATGAAACCAAACACTTAAAAAAGCGCCTGTTTCACACGCGGCGGTCCCGTGTCGCCCCGAGCGCGCACCGTGGACGCCGCACCACCGGACGCACCTGCATGAGGCTGAGGGGCTGCGGCGCCAGCCACTCCTTTGAGCTCTTGACCTTGGGAAGCTTGTGGTTCCCACGATCCTGACCGTCTAAGTTTTCCATTGTGGGTCCCAGGAACAGAGCCCCTGGGAAAACTACAAACGCGGCTTCCTCAGCTGTGCGGATTCAGCCCCGCGTCCTCCCGTGCTGGTTAGGAAACCATCCTTGTGACCGCGGGCCGCGCGGCGCACGTTCCGATCCTCAGCCGTGGACGTGGACGGCCGGGCGCGACCCCTGCGGGCCGGGCAGGGAGGCGCCGGCCGCTCTGGTCCCCGCAGCCCCCTCCCGAGACTGGCGGGGCTGACCCCACAGCCCAGGGCCCCCCGCGAGGCCTCGGCTGCGGCCGGGGGCTGAGCCCGCTCGGCGGCCTCAGAAGGTGAGAACGTTTCGCGTCCCGCGTCTCCCGGGCTCCCGGGCAACAGCGAGTTCCGCGCGGCGCGGAAGGGCACGGAGGACCCCGTGGAGGTGCGGCCTCGGGTGGGCAGGCCCCAGCTCGCGGACCCAGGTGGGGGCTTCTTGGTGACCGGCAGCTGTCGCAGCCAATCGCTGGCGCGCCGCCTTCCCCGCGGTCGGTCGTGGACGGTTGCTCCGCACCCGCCGGCCCCCGCGCGCCGCCCCGAGTGCCCTGCGTCCCCCGCGCGGCCGCGGCTCTGCGGTTAGCCCCGCTGCGTCGCCCCCACGCGGCTCCGGGGAACCCCACCGCCCCCAGCCCCCCCCCCCCCGTGGGCAGAACCGCGGCGACGTGAGTGGCGGGAAAGGGACCGTGTTTGTGGAGGTCGGGCGACCCACACCGGGAAGACGTGCGGACTGCGTCTCCGGGGCCCCGCGGCGGGGCGTCGGCGCCGCGCGTGGGAAGGGACTGTGCGGACCCACGGCCGCGCGACCCGTCCGGCCTTGTTCGCTCAGTCCGCGCGTTCTCCGTCCCCGCCGGAGCTTGTTCTCGTTTTGTTCTGTTTTGTTTTTCTTTCTTAATCCCAGTGACCGTGATGCAGACGGCCCGCACGGCTGGAAGAGGACGCGCCGTGCTCGTCCAGACTCTCTGCGTAGCGGGCTCTGTGCGAGCTGGGGTTCCCGAGGATTTTATTCTCGTCTTTCAGTTTCCGTGGACGCCGGGCCACGGGCCGCCACTTTCACTGCCCACCTTTTCGGAGGACGCGTGCTCGTACTTAAACTGTCCGGCGTCTCCTAGGGAGATCCGTGCCCGCAGGCCTTTAGGAAGCTCGGCAGAGCGGACCCTCTGCGCCGCAGCCTCGCCCCGAGCGGAGGCAGCTCGGGCCGCAGCAGAGCTCAGCGTCCGACCCGCCCCCGGGCACCCAGCAGGGGGCCGCGCAGCAGTCACCGGGCACCGAACGCCAGGGCGCAGCCCGTGTGTCCTCACCAGGGTTCAGTGGAGGAAACATGCGTTTGGGCAGAGAGTTTTAAAGTTTAAAGACAAGTCTGGGCCTAAGAGTTTTAAACAAACTTTTTTTGTGTGTAATGAGCCATAGTGGACACTGCAGGTTTCCAGGCCACAGGAGAGCAGCCACAGACAATACAATGAGAGGCTGGGTGTGGCTGTATTCCAATAAAACTTCATTTACGGACACTGAAATTTTAATCTCATGAAGTTTTACACAGCACACAATATTATTCTTTTGATTCTCCCCTACCACACACACACACACACACACACACACACACTACTTAAAAATGTGAAGACCATTCTTAGTTGCAGGCATACAAAAACTGGTAGTGGGACAAAGATGGCCAGCCTGCCCGGGTCTGCCGACTCTCCGTCTGTTTAACCCCTGCAGGAAATGCCCGGTGACGCGGGAACACTTGTCAATGGATCCCCCAAGAAGGCTTTGCAAGGCCGGAGACCAGGGCTGTATTTCAAGGAAAAGGACTACAAATGTGTCCTGGCAGATGATTGTTAACGCTCGGAATGTGAATGCTGAAGATTTAAAGGCAGCTGGGTAAAGACCCTAAGAAGAGAATTTGACTTCAGTTTTCTGCATCTCTTCCGGTCCTATCTGTAAAACAGACTAAGCCCGTTATTGCACCAGCGACCTTTGAGACAGCGGTCTCCGACCAGGAGAGCGTGTGCGAAAGAAAGTACTAACAGAGAGCCTAGCCTGGTTTTGAGAAATGTTTGTTCCAGAATCTATCAGCTGGACCTTGCCTGTCTCTCTCCACGACAGTCCATCCTTCCTATTCTACATCCTCCCTTAAAAATAAAAAAGGTGATGAGGGATCGAGCAAAAAGAAGGAACTGCTGGACATGGACCACAGTGTGGTGATTGCCTGGGGCAGGGGAGGACAGTGGAGGTGGAAGAGGCTATAGGTGGGATAAATGGTGATGGAAAAAAATACAATAAATTTTTTTTAAAAGAAAAAAAGTGATATCACCCCATGCCTAAAACTTCTCTTGACCTTCTGTTACCTATACGAAATTAAGGGCATGAAATCACATTTACTGGAAGCCCTATGTTATGGATGAGGCACAGTTTATCCACACTATAAACTAAGTAGCCCCATTTTACAGATGAGGAAACTGAGGCTAAGTGAGGTTAAATAACTCTTCCGTAGTCATGCAGCAGAAAACGGGCATGCTGGGGTCCATCCCAGAGCTGTCCAGTTCCAAAGTGCATGGCCCTTCTCATCGGGATAGGGGTATATTACAATCAACTGGGGAACTTCTTCAAAATACCCGTGCTGTTATCACAACAGTCTGAACATTTTTTATCACAGACAACTAATTTAGTGGAACAGCATGGAGAGTCCAAAAGCAAATGTATGGAAAAAATGGAAATCAGGAAACGGTTGAAAAATATGGCCGGAGCGTAACTGCTAGTCCTGTGAGCACAACCAAGAGAAAGGCATTCAGTTTTATTCGTATCCAGGAAAACACTGGCGTGGTTGTTGTGAAGACCCATCTGTGTCTTCCAGTGGCAGCTGACACTGAGGGCATGTGTCCTGGCACCTGTGCAGAGGCCACAGAGAGACTGGGTAAGTCTGTCTGCCAGGGCCTGTCTGTGTTCCCTGTGGTGGATGAGTCTTCTGACTGCAAGTGGCAGAGACGACGTCAGCCAGGACAGAACGTGGGAACTGATTGGACAGATACTGAGGATTCTTCTAGGATCACTGGAAGGTGGAGGAACCACAAGGAAAAAGATTGCAGGGACTGGAACTCTGCTGGAACTTTTCTCTGGTCTCTCCTTCTAAGGAGTCCGGGTTTGTTCTGCCCCACTGAGAACTGCCTCCTTTCCTGGCTGGTATTGTGGCCAAGACTCACATTCTACCTCTTAATTTCTCTTAAGACCCTGATTTGACCGGTGTTGGATCATATACTTCTATCATTCGGCTGGGTCGGGGAGGATGAGGGAGGCAACAGGTTAAAAAAGCAAGAGATGTGCCCTGGCTGGTGTGGCTCAGTGGACTGAGTGTCGGCCTGTGAACTAAAGGGCCACCAGTTCAATTCCTGGTCAGGGCACATGCCTGGGTTGCGGGCCAGGTCCCCAGTTGGGTGCATGTGAGAGGCAACTGGTCGATGTATCTCTCACACATCAATGTTTCTCTCCTCTTTCTCCCTCCCTTCCCCCTCTCTAAAAATAAATAAATAATAAATAAATAAAATAATTTTTCAAAAAGAAAAGAAAAAAGTAAGAGATGTAGCTACTCAGGGCCACCCTATATAAAGAGACCATTTACAGAAAAAGAAATTATTGTCAGCCAGGTAGCCAGCTTATTGGCATCTCCTGCAATCTCCTTCTGTGTCTATACATTTTTTTTAATAAAGCCCTAATATAGAGCTGGGGGAGTTGAGCTTAATAACTCATGTAAATTGTGCTTGTGTTTAGATTTTTATTCTAAATTGAAATTTTCTAAAAAGAAATTTGGGTTGCTCGAACACTCTTTTGAAATAGTAGAAGCCTCTACTTCTGCTAGTAAGGTAGCAGCGATTCCTTCAGTCTTTCGTCAAAAACCCAGCGGTGACCCACAGTGTGCGCTACACTGCCCTAATAAACCAGGAAACCGCAGCTGGTCGAGATACAGCCTCTGCCTTCCATGCCTCTGTACATGCTGCCCTGTCTTCCTGATGCCTTCCTTTTCTGTTCCTGCCCCTTCACAACCAGTAGGCAAATTCCTGAAAGCTACTGAAGACCCAAGTCAGATCTTAAGCACCTGTCCACTGTGCTATGTATTTTATGTACATGTTTACTATGACTGCCATTATAGTTCTCTGTTTACTTAGACAGGGAGCCCCTAGCAGGCACGGAGTATATTGTAATCATTCTGCTTTCTCCAGTGCCTGAGATAGCGTCGAATTTCGAGTAGGCAAGTCCCACATGTTTGATGAACAAATAAATGAATGACCCCTGCCTACCAGAGTCAGGGAAGGCTCCAGAGAGCTGAATCTCAAAGGAGTAATTGAGAAACTAGGTACTCACAGAAGCTATATATTCTTTTTTAGGGTCTCACATTTTATTACTCTCATTGTCCTATTGTGTAAGCACATCACAAAAAAAACGGCACTGAGGGCCCTGACTGGTGTAGCTTGGTGGACTGGGCGTTGTCCTGCAAACAGAAAGGTCACCGGTTTGATTCCCCATCAGGGCACATGCCTGGGTTGACACACGGTGTGTGTGTGACGGGCAGCCAATCAATGTTTCTCTTGCCCATGGATGTTTCTCTTTCTCCCTCCCTCCTCCTCTCCCTAAAAATAAATAAATACATCTTTTTGAAAACGGCATTGAGAAGTCATCCCAAATAACATATGGAACAGACGTGATATACCTCTGAGGCTTTAGGAAGAGTTCTAGGACACGCGATAATGTTGCATCACTAACAAAGCAGGAAGTGAGCACGCTTCGAGGATATCGCGTTAAAACTACCGGGAGAATCAAAATTTAAAGGTCTAACACCAAACGCTGGGATCAGTTCTAGAGAAGATATAATTTGCAGGGTGAGGTTCTTTTTTTTAAATTTTATTAGAAATTATATATTCGTGTTTAGAGCCACAAAAAACTTCAAAGGATGTGCACAGTGAGAAGAAGGCAGCGGACATGGTGCCGCTGAGGCCCACCGCCCAGGGCAGGGGTGGGCTCTCCCGGCAGCCGCTGGGTGCCCCTGAGGATGGATGGAGCTCATAGCCACTCGGGAGCCAGTGACACGTCTAGTTCCTTCACATTTTTTAAGTTATATTTGTATCTA